TGGTTTCTTTGCTCCCTGAGTCAGGACCTGCTGCCTGAAACACAACACTAATCTTTTCAAATAATGTCTCGATAAGACTCTCTCCTTGGGTAGCAGGGTCCAACCTGAGTTTTGAAAGCGGTGTTCCAGATGCTGGGATGGTGAAAGAAAGAGCCCTCTGTCCAGGGAGCCCGTCTGCCCAAGGTGACTCATTCCTGTGTCACATGTTTCTACACTCTCCTTGCATCCCCAGAGTTTTCCTAATCCCGTCAGGCCAGTTCCTCCACAAACTCCTCTGCAGCTTTGCCTGACATCGTCTGAAGCAAGTGTCACTGGAGTCTGTGAGCAGGGGCAAGTGTGAACTGTCACCTCCTTCTTCAAGGGAAACCATGGCCTCTCTGAGGGCTGGCCTCCCTGCATGGCAGATGCTCTGGCTGCTTTCGGCCACAGCCTTTATGGACATCGTCACAGGGGCAGGCTCGTGTCTCCTGGTCCTCCCAGCCTCCCCACCGCCCCTACAACCTTTCTTCCTAATCTGTTCGTACCCTTCCACCAGCATCTTCACCTGGTTATCCAAACCGCTTGCATTTAAAAATGCTGATAACGTCATACAATGGGGCAGTTACTGCTGTGCAGTTAAAATCCTGCCATGTTTTCAGATAAAAGTTAATGTCGGAATATAATTCATCAGGGAAGAGGGTTAGAACCTCTACCAGTAGGCCCTGGCTCCGTGTAACGCGTGTACACGTATGTTCGTTCCCACACAGCTGCTCCATGGGTGTCACCTGTGGACCTCGTGCTGAGCTGTGGGATTCTCACCTTCTAGGGACCACCCAACACTTCCTGAGCTTCTGGCTCTGTCCCTTGTGACCCCAAAGCATGGTAGGAAATGAAGGGGGATCTGGCGGCCCCCCAACACCCACACTCCTTTCTGCCTCTCTCCTGCCGGACTCCTGCCCCTCCTGCCTGCGTTCGTTCTTTACCTGTTTGCCTTCCCTCAGCACATCCTCTAACCCCTGGGCATCCTTCATCCCAAAGGACCTGCTGCAACCTCCCTCCATCCTGCCCACATCTCCCTGACACCAAAACCTTACCTTCACCCCCTCTGTAGAAAGCCTAGCTCAGGGGAGCCCTAAACGGGTGAGATATGGAGCTCTTGGTTTTCTCGGGGGACAGCCGATCAACACAGTGGAGTAGGTAAGCGCCTGGAAGCAAACCCTGGCTTGTCACAGGGGCCAGAGCTGAGTGTCCACAGAGGAGACGGCCACCAGGCTGATGATAGGAGAGGATGGAGGGTGCCCCATGCTGAAGGCACAGCCCAGGGCCCCATCCCGTGCAGCTGGGGTATGTGGGGGGGGTGGTACTCCCTGCTCTGTGGTCCAGGGGAGATGAGGTCCCAGCATCTCTCAACAGCATTTCCCGCTGACACACCTGTGAATGGGTTTCATGACGGCTCCACTGTGTGTACTCCAGAGATCAATAGCCTCACCTCTCTTGACAGACATTCTTTCTGCTGGGAAGTCTTACTGCCTTTCTAACTCTAGCTGAGTTATAAGCCCTATAACCCTTCCTGGAGGGCAGGCTGGGTTCCCGCCCTCCGTGGGGTGGGAGCCTCGGCCTTCACAAGGCTTTCCTTCCATTGTATGTGGTTTTCCCCTCACCAACACCCCGCCCCTTTTTTTAAGTCCATAATCCAGGGATTCCCCTCTTTGGAACTATTTAAACGGAAATGGGATGCTGGCAGGAACCGCTCGAAAGGATCCTGCCCCAGAAGCTGGCCACCTGGGTGGCCGTGGAAGGCAAGGTCCAGCTTTGAAACAAGCGAGAGGAGCCTGAGCTTCGGGCCGCCAGCCCCCATCTGAACTGTGCGTTGTCTCCCTGGACTCTGGGTGTGGCGGCTGTCCCAGAGCTGGGCTGTCCCTGCACAGGTGCTCCAGGGAAGGATTTCCTGTGTCTCTGATGAGCCTCAGAGCCTGCCAAGGCCACATGTTTCTGGAAGGCCGTCACAGAGCCCCGCTCTCCAAGCAGGGGCGTGGCAGTCTGGACACCTGGGCCTATGCAGGTTGGCAGCCGGGGGTCTGCACACCCTGTCCACCCCCCACCCCCTCCCCCAGAGACCTTGCTCACAGAGGGGGAATCGGAAACAGTGGAAATTCTCAAGGAGCAACAGATGTGGCCTCAGGAAGAGAGGGATTGAGCTTCGCTGCTAGACCTACTGAATCTGTTGTGTAGACTCGTTTTGGAGGTTGCAACTAGCGAATACACACCTACCCGTGTGTCGTGACAGGCTGTGGTCAGGAGTATTGTGTGGTGTGGTAATTAAACACTGTCTTGGGCATCGGCATCGGACAGACTAGAGTTTGAATTTGGCTGCAGGAGCTTGGGCACATTTTTCACCTCTCTAAGCCTCAGTTTCCTCATCTGTAAAACCACGTGTTTCCACAGGTGGGACCAGAAGGCCGGAGGCTGGGAGGTACCTATCTCGTGGGTTATTCTGAGAACCCCATAAGACAACACATGTAAAAGTGCTGGGCCAGGAACTGGTGCATGCCCACTAAGTGGTACCCACCCACCTGAGAAGTGAAAGAAGTGACCCCTAGTTTTTTGGCCTGAGACCGTCTTAGGGAGCGCATCACGCACGCAGTGAAGGTAAGGCAGAGGCCTCGCCTTCCGTCACAGCGTCGGCTGACGTCGTGCCTGATTCGAGATTGTAGAGGGAAGCCCAGAGCATAAGTTGTTTTCCAGGGGCTAGAAAGGATCTGTTCTTCTCACGTTTCTCAGGCTGAGTCAAACCCTAGTGTCTTTCATCGGCGTGGCGTGGTGGTTGTGCACACTCCGACTGGTTCCCAAAACACCTTTGTGGCAGCTCCCAGAGGTGGAAAGAGGGGGCGAAGTAACTTGCCCCAGGGCTCGGGGAGCGGCCCCTCCACACGCCCTGGAGAGTTCGTGATCGGCTCTGCTCTGTCCTGGCTGCAGTTGGAAGATATTTGCTTTCTTGTCTTGGTTTTGCTTAAGCAGAAGTCAACATGGAGCCCAGGAACTGGACTTACGCTAACTTATGGGCTATAGACCCAGGGAGGAAATGGGCAGGATAATTCATTCGTTTGGGGACAGTTCGTGACTGGCCAGTGGCACTTCTTGCAGAGAGGTATGCAAAGCATCCCCATGTTACTGTGTTACTACAGGTCACTGGCTGACTTTGGCCCTGAGTGTTTTGTGGCAGTGCCAGCAAAGTCAGTGTGACAGGTGCCAGGTGCCAGCTGACCGTGCCGAGCCACTGAGACTTCGGCTTTGGCAGGAAAGCCTCACTTTAATGCTTGGTGTGTGGATTACAAGCTCAGCCTCCTAAATATGTCCAGGGGAACCCTAAGAGCCATGCTTCCAAAATTAGTGTCTACTGAGCAACGAGAGAGAATTGCACAGGGAAGACATGGTGATTTTACTTATTTTCTCTCCTTGCCCCTACCCGCTGCTCCAGCCCCAATAGCTGGTCTAGGATTCTAGGAGCCCGTGGGAAATCCCTGCTAGGCCTGCATGGTCTCAAGTTTTTGTGATGTTTCTCATTTCAGAGTCCTAAAGGAACATTGTGAGCATGATCGCTTTATCTGTTGTAAGCGTTATCTCCACTGAGAGTCCAGGCTGCTCTGTCTGCACCCGGAGTGAAAGGGGAACGCCGTTCTCACAGGGTCACAGCGGGTTCTTCCCTGGTCCTGTGCACAGAGGGGTCACAGCAAAGAACCGCTTATTCTTTGTGTCACTTGATTAATCCGACTTCTGGGCTAACCCATAGGTGGCCCCGATTCTGCGTGGCCACCGTGGCATCTTTTGCATTTCGGTTTTAGGAAGTCATTGTGTCTTAGTTCATGCTGATTACATAACTCATCAGAGGTTCCTTTTTCACTGGAAATAGCTGCAGTGTTTCCAGAAACTTCTGCTGCTGTAACATCAGGGCACCTAAGGTCATCCGTTAGCAGGGTGACTTCATGGGCATGCGACTTGGGTAGTCACAGAGTCTCACACTCAGATGGGCCCTGAGCATGGGGTTAATGCTGTGGTGGCAGAGTCAAAATTTTTAGTAGTTTTATCTTTAAATGTATATCTTATAAGTGAAGTCCAGCGGGACAGTGAGTGTGCACGGGGGCACGTGATCCCACCTACCGCCACCTCCTGCCTCCCCTAGGTGGGACCTGGACATGGAAAAGGCTGAGGATAGGAGCATGCGCCCCATGGCATCTCAGGACAGGGTTTGGTGGCAGCTGGGATGACAGCTCTATAGCATGTTCAGTGGGTGACTAAATAGGCATGAGCCTCTCCCCCACCCCTGATTCAGGTACCTAATACATCCTGGTGCAGAGGTTGTAATACCTTGGGGTCACCTGTCCACCTCTGGTTGGGGCGCCTGGTCCCTGGAAATAAGAAACCCCAGGCTAGACTTTCCTGCCCCTAGCTGGGTCCCAGCACATCCGTGCAGCTGCCGGTGGGGGGGAAGCGGCAGCAGGCGGCCACTGCCCTTGCGTGCTTTGTCACTGGGGCCTCTGTGCCTGGAGGGGCTCTGCTCACCTTGCAATTATCCTCATACGCCAAAGAGAGAAGTGACATAAATAGCAAATAAAGACCATCATGACGTACACACCAATGGGAATGTACTTAATGCCACTGAACTCTGCACTTAAAATGGTTCAAGTGGTAAATTTTATATATATTTTACCCCAGTAAAAATATTCATACCCTATTAAAAAACCAAAAACAAGAAACATCAGGACAAGTGGAGAGAGAGACCATGGAAAAGAGAAAAAAAGCTTTATATTCAGTACCTTTAATGGCACAGTTTTCCTGCTTTTTGAGCAAGGGGTCCCACATTTTCATTTTGTACTGAGCCCCCTCACCCAAGTTATATACCTAAACCTGCCTATTGGCCACCTTGTAAAACTGCCCAGTCTCGACTTTTCCAGAGACCTGCCCCGAATCCTGAAAGTCGTGTGCTGCTGAGCGGACTCTGATCTTTCTCTGTTCTTCCCCAGGTCTTCTGTTGGCTGTGTGTCAGGCCCTGGAGAACTCGACATCCGCCCTGAGTGGTGAGTCCTGGCCCCTCGCCCCTTGGTGTGCTATGGCACATGGGGGATGGGAAGGGAGCGGACCTCGGCTAGTTTGTGGAGACTGAGTTCTCAGCTTCCCTTTGGGGTTCCTGCCTGCTGAGTTCGCGCCCAGCTGTCGCCTGAGCACTCTCTGCCCTCCGTGCCAGGGACCAAGGTCGTGCTCCCAGGAGATCCTCACTGCAAACCCAAGGGAGCTAGTTCACCCCTTCCCATCTCTCTGTTCACAGTGTGGGCAAGGGTGCTGGAAAACAGTCTGCAGGACCCAAGAGCTCGGAACTAGCTCATTTAATAATCCATTTAAAGGAGAGCCCAGCCCTGGCCGGTTTTGCTCAGCGGTTAGAGCGTCACCCTGCGGTCCAGAGAGACCTGGGTTCGGTTCCCGCTGGGGCGCGTGCCTCGGTTACAGTTTGTCCCCGGCCCTGGATGGGTCGTGTGGGTGGCAGCCACTCGATGTGTCCCTTTCACATTGATATTTCTCTCTCTCTCTCTCTTCCTCTCTCTCCCTCCCACTCTATCTGAACAAAAAATGGAAAAATGTCCTCAGGTGAGGATAAAAAAATAAAAAACATTTACAAAAAGAAGAGCCCAGATTCCTGAACCTTTATGTCTGCCTCTGCCTGGGGATCTTTGTTTAGCTACTTTCTGGTTTGTCTTTTGACACCTGTAGTACTATTTTCCTGGTTTCATTGTAAAGACCCTAGCTGTACAGATTGAAAAGTCTGGGAAGTGGAGGCGGCAAACCACGCAGGTCCGAGTCCCCCAGAAGCATCGCTGCGTGTGCACCCTGCTGTTAGCCTTTGCCTGCGTGCGCTAATATTTTATTCAGTCATGGTGAGGACACTATTTTGATCCCTGCTTTTTAAAGTCAAGGTTTGGAGTTGTGCATTTTTCCATGTGGCTAGAAAGTCTTACGTTTTATCCTTTAAACTGTCAAGATGTTCCATTCAAATGGACATGTGTAGTTAAATTCAGCATCCCCACTGAATATTTGTGTTGCCTTCAGTTGAAGTTATGATGCTACCTCTTTATGCCTAGAAGCTTTTTCCTTATTTTAGATACTTTCCTTAGGATATATCTTCAAGAGAAAGAATAAATATATGACCCGTGGTACAAATTGCCAAATAGCTTTCCACGTGCATGTGAACTGATTGTTACACCGGCCATGCGTTAGTCTGCCGGTTTCACCACTCCTTCGCTGACATGGGCATGCTCCCATCTGTCACTGCAGCGGCCCCCTGCTCTATCTGTGTCTCCCTAGTTATTTCAGGGAACTGTTGGGGGGGGTTGTTACTTATATATACATAAATTCTCTAACCAACCACACACCGTCCTGGTACTTTGCTCTCCTCTGCCAACCATTCCCTCCAAACACCCTGGAGGCCGTGCTGTCGCTCTCCCAGGTACCACTGCTTCTGCCCCCACATCCTCGCAGAGATGTTATCCTTGGTGCACTTGAACCCTAAGAGTCTGAGACACTTGGTCCGTGATGACAGAAGAAAATGCCTTTCTTCCTCTTACACTTCGTTGGAGCTAGGGGTGGAAGGGTGTACCTAGCCCAAAGCAGCGCTTCTGTGGTCCAGGGTCTTTCAGTTTCCATAAAGCGGTTCTTTCACTTTTTAACTACCTCCCACACCACAAAGGGCTCAGAAGTGAATATATGGGGAGGAGGATAGCTTAGTGACTTCCCTGTGCTATTCTCAGATTTGTCCCAACCCCCTTCCTAGGCTCCATTTAACCCCCAGGTGCATCTCAGCCCTCCTGGTCTTCACTGTAGGACCTAGGAGGTGAAGGTGTCACTTGCAGGTGACAGGTCACAATGATGTAAATGCTGATGCTCCCATCTATAGGAAGGGGGTGCTCCTGGGTATTTTACCCCTCCTTCCGGTCACCATCCATTTATACAGACAAGAAAGGCCTAGGGTGGTGTACCTGAGTGTTCCCTCAGGTGTGACTCCTGCCGAGGTGCTTTGGGGTTTCCCAGTCTCCCCTGGGCAGACATGGGAAGACCTGCTATCTAGATGACGGTCCTTGCTGCAGTAGTGACATCTTTCATTTCTGGACTTGCTTCTGTGAGAATGTCTCTGATATGGGCAAGTTCCCGAGGTTCACCATCCTCATTAGGATATATATATGTTCAGGAAACAGTAGTGGCTCCTGCTGTGTGGTATGTCACCCTATGACAGGCTGAGTGCCACCCTGTGGCCCAATGTGGTGGGTGACAGCAGGGGCAGTGCCACAACTTCTAGTGTCCAGGGGACTTTGAGGCCTGGAGTTGGTGGCCCAGGAGACCTTGTCCAGGGGACTTTGAGGCCCTGGAGTTGGTGGCCTAGGGGACCTTGTCCAGGGGACTTTGAGGCCCTGGAGTTGTTGGAGGTCTGTGGGGAAGGGAGAGAGGCTGCCTGTCTGGCCTCTGCAATGACCTGTGTTTGATGGGTTACTGAGCTATGAAAATTGTGCCCAGAAAAGGTAATGGACCAGTTCTTTCCATTTTTACTTACTCTCAGCCCTGCCTCACTGGACCCAGACATGAATTCAGAGAGGGCTGGGCTAGGAGCCAAGTCCGCAGTGTCATAGGCACCCCTCCCAAGGCAGGGACTTTGAGGCTGAATCAGGTTTACTTGCTTAACTGTCTCTTCCTTCAGGCCGCAGCGGTTCTCAACCTTCCTAATGCCGCGACCCGTTAATACCCATTACCCAGCTTCAACAATTAGCGTCACTCCACCATTTTTCTTTCATCTATTCTCCCACCTTCCTTGTTTTTCCCTTAGCTGGGATATTTTAAAGCAAAACCCACTTGCGAATATTGTTTTTATCTAACAGATAAGGGCTTTTAAGAACAAGCCATCGTCCATTACCCCACAAAATCAACAATGATTTTTCCTTGTTAGATCCTTAAATATGGAGGGTAGTTGATGCTGCATTCAATTTTGTGACCCTTCAGATGTGAGGACGATCTGGCTGGGACATCTGTCACCCCATTGATCACCAGGATTGATTCTGCTGATCTGGCTGGCTAGGCGTTGGTCCCCCTCCTCCCTCACTGATCCCTGCGGTCTCTCCCGAAGCTGCATGCTCAGTGGAAGAGGGTGACCTTCCCCACACACACACACACACCCAGGAGAGGACCAGCCTTCTGTCAACCGCATACGAATACCTCCAAACAAGCTCTCATTTGTGTGACACTTCATTTAATTTGCATTTCCTTTCATGTTCTCCTATTTTGCTTCCTACTTATATTACCTTTCAGGTGAACACTGTTTTTGTAAAACATGCTCACTTATGTACTGTGTGAGTCTCCCTCCTTACCCCTTATGCTCTGGATGTCGGTGGGCTCACTTACTGAATCCCAGAATAATCCATTTAGGTGTAAAGATGGGTTGTTTTAGGACAAAAACTACAAGGGCTTGACCCATGGTGTAAACATGCAGGTCTCTTCACTCTAAGCATTGACAGGAATGAGAAGCAACAGTGGGTATAAGAAGGGTTCGATCCCGTCCTGAACGACAGCGCTAGAGCAGGACTGCAGGCTCACTCAGGATCAAGCTCAAACAGCTGGATGGAGCAGCATGGAGAGAACATTGCAAACTCCATGTGCCAGTCTAGGGTGGTACCTGAGATTACGAGAACAGGGGCTGACGTCACTTGACAGTTAACTTTGACCTGTCTTATTGAGGTTTCATTGGTTTCTTCCAGTCTTCCTCTCTCTTAGATCCCCAAATGTGGAGGGTAGATGATGCCAGAGGTATAGGAAACCGATATTATTGTCATTAGTAAATGCTTCTCAGACATCTGCTTTGGGTGAAACTTGGAGGGATGCATGCCTTAAGCTGGGTCAGGAATGCTGGGTGTTGGGCCCAGCTGGTCTGTTTTACCAAGTCTCTGGGCAAGCTATTCATCTGGCTCCTCTTTGGATCTTCGTTTTCTCGTCTGTTGGACTTGAATCAGGAATGGCTGTAGGGTTTTCACATGACCACTGTGATGAATTGGTAGAGATACTTGGAAAGCCTTGTTGAGGATTATTAGGCTACCTTCAGACTGTTAGGAAATACAGTGGTGATCAGTAGGTGATGCCTGCCATGGACCCAAGGTAGGGAAATGTGACTGTCATATATTTAATTCTCTGGGAACTAGATGCTATTTTTTAAATTGTTTTTTAAATGATTTTAGAGAGAGAGAAGAAGTGAGAGAGAGAGAGATAGAAACATCGGTGAGAGAGAACATAAATTGGCCACCTCCTGCATGCCCCCTACTGGGGATTTGGCCCACAACCTGGGCATGTGCCCTGACCAGGAATCGAAGCGGTGACCTCTTGGTGCATGGGTCGACGCTCAACCACTGAGCCACACCAGCCCCTGAGCCACACCTGCCGGACACCCGATGCTATTTTACACCCCGGTTCTAACATTCTAGTTGCTGAGACTATACAAAGAAGCAGTCCTCTCGGTCCTTGTCCTCAAGGAGCCCCCCATACAGGTGAAAAGTCAGCATGGAAACCCATGAGAGCCTCATAATGACCTAAGGCTACACAAGAGTGAAATCAACAGTCTGGGGGTTAGAACAAAACAATTTTATCTGGTTGTCAGTTGGTAAAGCACGCAGAGAAACACTAGCTGGAGGCAGGGTGAGGGCGACAGCACCTATAGCTTAGAACATCTGCCACACCCTCCGGAGGAAAGATTATGACCTATCTTCAAAAAGCACCTTTGAATGTCCCTTAAAAGGGACAGAATGCAGCCAGCTAAGTTGTTGGGTGGCTCCTTGCTTAACCCTCCCAAATGTTGCACAGTTCTCAGGCTGCCCATCTGGTTCTCATGTTTTCATGAGACTCACTCTAATGACTGAGGGGTGTGGTGCGGGCCCCGCTCAGGCACCTGGGAGCCAGGCTCCGGCTGCCCTCTGCTATCTGCCTTGCACATCACAGTACTCAGGGTGGCTCTTTAAACCTCTGAATGACTGCACCTTCCTCTAGCCTCTGTCTA